AAGATTCAGGACAAGGAAGGTATTCCCCCAGATCAGCAGCGTCTGATCTTCGCCGGCAAGCAACTGGAAGATGGTCGCACCCTGTCCGATTACAACATTCAAAAGGAGTCTACCCTTCATTTGGTACTGCGTCTGCGTGGCGGTTACTCAAGTTAATTGCAAAATAAAAGAAATCGCAAATGAATAATTCAACACTAAAATCAAGCCACAGTTTCAAAATTTTTTTATTTCTGCAAAAAACACTAGACCGCAAGAAAAAATTCAAAATTACAAGTTCAAGCATTGAGCCGAATTTCCTGTGCCTGCTGTTTCTTCTGGCTTAATTCTTGCTTCAAATTCCATAAACAATTGCAAATTAAAATAAATTTACCATATTCAAAAAGTTGTATTTTGCATTATATTTTATTTATTGTCAGGTGGTGGGGTAAATAAAAATGCTCTGAGTGCATTGCATTAGAAATGCATTTCTTCGTCGTGGAAATCCAATATATAAAGCTTGAATATTCGCTTAATTGGAATAAAATTGCATGTTATATCAAATAATATTTCATGTACATATATTTATTCCATCTGTGGAACGTTCACGTTTCACTGTGATTGGTATTTGTTTTGCTAAACATGAATACGTTTCGTGGCGACTGTCAAAAAGTGCATGACAAATAAATTTCAACCCGTAAAAGTGAATGCTTCCCGTTTATTTCGGACAAAAACAATCTGTTAGTGAACGTGCAGACGAAATGGCCAAGGTATTGCAGCGTGTGGAAATCACGCTGCGTAGCTTCTATGTATTCAATTCCAATCTGAGCCAGAAGGAGGGCGAGGTGAGTTAAGCCAATCCGTGGGAGAGACGCCTACAAAATGCTATTGCTTTCATCCAACAGGAGCACAAGAAAATTCTGTTTTATCATCCAAATGATATTGAACTAAATACAAAAATCAAAGATGTGGGTCTTAGCGAAGCCATCATTACATTCACGGGGTGAGTCAGCGGCTACCACAGCTACAGCCCAAGAAGGAAGACTTACATATGTTTATTTTCCTCTACCAGAACGTTTACAAGCGAGGATGATTGTAAGGCTTTGCATACGCAGAAGACAACCCAGCTTTTCTATCAGCCAGAGCCAGGCTTCTGGCTTGTGATGGTGCTCAATGTCCCCAAAGAGGTGAAGCTCAAGGAAGGAGTCGAGGTGGCTGACTATAGAGGAGGCGAAGTATCTGATAGGATATATCAAGCTGTCTTAAGGCAATGCTATCATATGTATCGCTTTCATCATGGTCCTCTCCAAACGAAACTGATGGCCAGCCCAGGCAGTGAGGAGGCAGAGGAGCAGCGCCAACAATTGGCTGCAGAGCTGAAAACATTCTATGATCGCTATTTGGCTACACTCAAGGATCTGGCTCAGTGTGATATCATGGATATGCTACACTCCATTCAGTACCTTGCTCTGGACAAAAGCCTCTTTTTGCGCGCCCATAACTTCAGCATGCTATGCGATACCTTCACAGCGGTCAAAGAGTGCATCATGTTCTATAACGACCAAGTTGTCTGTGGAGGCAAACTGGCTGCTAGCGACTTGTATAGCTTGCATGCGTATGTCCTGGGAACAGTTTCTGCGGTTGGATCTGTGGATACCTTTCGAACGGGTGCATTTGTACTCGAAGGAGAAAAACCAATCGCAGCTGAGGTCTACTTGGATTTAGATAAGCAAATTAGGCCGCATTGTTTGCTCATATATCGCGCATTGAATGTTACGCTTTGTCTATTTGTGGATGGTAAAGAAAATGTACTGTAATTACTTCAATATTCTCTCTAAATGAAAGTTTCTTTATAGCTGTTCCTACGCAGGAGTTCTATGAAGAGCTGCACGCCTATTTGGGCCCACAGCTCAGCAGCCTGGCTAAAGACATTGCCACTGCCTCGAAGTTGAATGCGAGTGCATCTGCAACGACTGCAACTAATCCTGACGATGGCTCAGCCAAATATCTGTTTATCAACGAGCAAAGCCTCAAGCATCATACAAATATACATCGAAATGCAAAGAGCATTCCACGAAATGTAATGAGTATCATTGCAGATCTTGCTAATCCCATACAAGAAATCTCTGCCGCCGAGGAGCTGCAGGTGAAGACAACGAATGACTATTGGATTGTGAAGCGTCGTTGCAATTGGCGACAATATTATGTGATCCTCAGCAAAAGCAAGGCAACAACGCTGCTCGATGTGACCCAGGAGGCAAAGCGTATATTTGAACAGGAGCTCACAGATGATGTATTCTTTGACAAATAAAAAGTAATAATAGATAAATGAATGGCGTTTTCCAATTGTATTTGGTTGTGCTGCTGTTGTTCCTCGTTACTGGTTGCCAGCAGAGGCCGCAGCAGGGGCTGAGGTGCCTCTGTGGATGCTCCTTTCAAGCTAGCACCGTGCCACTATTCGTCGTCAGCTCATTGTTGGCATCAATATAAACGCTCGTTGACGACGACGAACTGGTTGTTGCTCCATTCTGCCCTTTACTAAATTTAACAATATAAATATGACGATTCGACATGCATATGCTGTAGCTGTGGTGCTCGTAATCAATGGTAATGCGCTCACAGCTACTGTTAGCTATAAAGTTGTCATCAATGCTGCAGGCGTGGAAAGAAAATTAATTAGTTTGATTTCCACATTCAGATTAGTTCAACTTGCCTCTCGGTTAGATTTAATAGGCCCATTATTACATTTGCGCTGCGCTCATCGTTTTTTAAGTCGCCACCTGATTCCAGTACTGCACCATCATCTTTAAGTATCAAGTAACCAATTTGATTGGGAACAATTAGCTTATCTTTGTCCATAATTCAATTCCTTAAACTCAGGTTCACGCCTCAGATTCCGTTCTTTATTGTTTTTGTTTGCAGCTGCATTTGATGCCATTCACTTACCACGCGAACACACTTATCGATATTATGTGCATATCGATATTATAGCACTCGAGTGTGACTACCATCGCCAGTGATTTCGACCCCACCTCTAGTACACTACATTCAGTAAAGTATTCCCGTGCAGTTCGTGTGAAATTTAAAGCGCTGCGTAAAAAATTAAGTAAAAAGTTGAAAATCAATAGTTAAACCAACAAATTTCTTCGTAAAGCGGTTGAGCAAGGTCCAGAGTGTAAGTTACACATAGTTTTATTAGCACAATTATCGACCACATAGCTTTAAATTGCATTTGAAAATCGGCTTGCGTGTGTGTGTGTAGTAGTGAAAATTTTTCGGGTCAACGCCACACCCTCGTTTTTATACCGAGAAAATCTAATTATGCTTTCAATGTGTGCACAATGCCACTATTAAATTGTTAAAAGTTAACTGAAAGTGATTTTCTTACATTACTTCCATTTGGAAAGTGTGTAATGGGTGTGAAATTCTGTATCTATGCTGCATATGAACCATTTCTCAAGCACGTTCATATGTGTGTGTGTGTTGTGTATACGTCATCGGGTTGTGCCGCAACTTCAGTTGAGAGAAAGCGAGAGAGATAGAAAGATGGAGAGCAGGCACGGACACAAGCAAAAGAGATGTATTTTGGTGTTGTTTTAAAAAGATGGCAACCCCATTATTTTGTTTGCCTCTTATTTGATTTTCTCAATACCTGTTTGTAATAATGAATGTCCTTGACACTCTCAACTTCTTGTTTATGTAGGATCACGTTGCGCAATATTGTGTTTAAATTGCCGGTACCGTACCGTACAAAAAGAGAAAAAGCAAAGAGTTATACAATTAAAAATGTATAATTTTATAGCCCTAATTGATTGTTTTTTTTATTTTTTTATTTTGACATTAAAAATATCCATTCATTGCTCATAATTCCAAGTTGTGCGCATTACGTCATCCAGCTATTTCTGATAGACACTTCAATTAATGTATGTATGTATGAATGTATGTTGCCGCCGCTTTACTGTATGGTGCTCATATGTGAGGTCTGTGTCTGTGATTGTATTTAAAAAGAGAGCACGTTTGCTCTTCTCGCATTCCAAACAAAAATGTACAACGGTGATATGGAGTCTCGAACTTATCCCCCTCTCAGTTTGTCTCTCTCTCTTTCTCTCTCTTGGTGAATGTTGTTTTTGTTTATTATACCACGCCATAAACAGTTACAATTGCCTTCAATTTGTTTGTGTTTGTTTAAAAGCGTGTGTGTATGTGTGTATCTGTATACGACTTTTGTATGGCTGCTTTCAATATACAAACCCCGAATCCGAGCCTAGGGTAAATTTTCTTCTTCAATTTCCTGCCGTGCATTAGGGCGATGGCGTAAACGAGTCGCGTGACAATATTAAATTTTGATATTTGTGTATTTGTTTGTCCAACCCTACTGTAAGACTACTCCCATTTCTGATGATGTCATTTAAGTAGAGCCAATTGAAAATGTTTTTCTAACTACTGATTTCAGCTCTCTTCGAATTCTCTTATTAGAAAATCATTCGTATTCTATTAATTAAGAATTTGAACTACATATTAAATATAAAATAATAACTAATGGTTTTGTATAAAATCTATATAATAACGATAATCTAGCTCTCCTATTAATATTTATTTACTAACATTTATTTCTTTTAAAGATATAATGGTAAAAATAAATTATAAAAAAATAAGAATTTTTCTATTTAATTGCATGTAAACAATATTTTTTTCTATCTTACCTAATTTAATATACACTATATACTAATTAACTATTCTAATTAATTTTATATATAATTTGCTCAAGTAAAACTTATCGAAAATTTCGGCATAAATCAGAATTTAGTTCGTTCCTTAAAAATAGTTTCGTTACTTTTGTATGCGTGAGTGGTAAAAAAAAAAAACAATAATAATCAGCAAAATATGAAGATGAAATAAGTGGCAAAATTGAAAGTCTCCTACAAATAAATAAAAATAATCACAATGAATGAAATCAAGACAAATACAAAGAGCGTACAAGCAAAATTTCTCTTCTCTCATCTTCCGTTGCAGGAACGGGGCCTGAGGGAAAGAGAGAAAAATGTTTTGTGAGAACGAGCGCTTGAACGTAATATAAACAAAAACCTAGCGACACATATGTATAAATAAAAACAAAACAGAGAATGGAGCTAGCGGAAGAACAGGAACTGGAAATGGAGCCGGAGCAGCATTTAAAGCATCTACTAAATAAACTCGAACCTATCGAATTGAATCAACTGCCAGAAAAGTTCAACGCTCACTTTCAGGGAGGGCAGAGTGGCCTAGAAGATTTCGCCATTTACTATTTGGCTGCACTACGTCAGCACACAGAGCAGCATTTTCGTAACAGTCTAAGCAACGAATCGGAGACGCCCAAAAGTCAAACGCCTGTACGCCAACCAAGGCCACCCACACAAACAGATCAGGAACTGAATGAATCTCAACTTAGTCAACTGAGCATTGGCAATGTGTCCACGCCTGTGCGACAAAATCCACATGGACGTCGTTCCACTGGTGGCCAATTCAACAGTACACCGCATAGCAACGAACGATCCACTAATCGCAGTGGAGGAGGTGGTAGCGTTTCCGGTGGTAGCTTTTGTCTAGGTGACTTTTTGGTCAATACAACGCCCAATCATAGCCAACAACGTGCAAGGAAGAAGCCGCTAACGCCACAGTCAAATACCGCACAAGATTGTGCACACAATAAATCTCAAAAACCACGTCGACGTGTGGTTCCTATGACAATCAGCAAGAATGTGTCTTCGTGCAGTTCCTTTGGCGACACCAGCTCGTTTAGCAACGAGAACAATTTGTTGCGTCTGTCGCAGAGCTGTGAATTGGATCGCAGCCAAGGCGCTGAACTGGAATTGGAGGCAAGAAAGACATTGCTACTACGCAGGCAAGAAATTAAAAGTGAAGCGCCAGTTGAACAGGAAAGAGAACGAGARAGAGAGAAAGAAATTCGACCTTTAGAGCCAGTCAGCTTGGAGGATGTCAGCCAAGCCAAAAAGCTTCAAGTGCTAGCTAGCATCTACTCATTGCTCATGGATTTGAATCTTGTTCCAAACGTATTGAGTGAGATAAGCTTTGTACTGCAATTAGTTAATATACGCAACATCGTGTCTGATGCGAGTCCAACGAAGTCTGACTCGGATGCACCTCTCGCCCTACTAACCGGCTACAAGGAATGCATTTACTTTGCCGTTAAATTACTGGAGCAACAGCAGGAGCTGCTATTGCAGCTGGATCGTAAATCTCTGGGTGTGCTGCTTCAGCATGAACGTTTGTCTTTGCTCTCCAAAGAGATGCAGGAACAACTGGAACTATCCTGTCAACAGAAACAGCAGTTAAAGAGCAAGCGGGAGCTATTTCCCGACACCCAAAATCCTCAGCAAAATGTCTACTACCAGCACGAGAAAGATTCACGTGATAATTTTCCTAGCCAACAGGAGTTCGGTGCATTTAAGACCCAGCGAGATCTTTTTTACAAGGCGCTCAAGCAGTGGGAGCAACTACATCTTAATCGTGCCTTCTGTTTTGGCAGAGATTTGGGTCAATGCGTGCGAGAGATCTTCAGGCAGTCCGAGCATGCTGTAAATATGGCGCACTTTGCCAAACTGTTTGTCAGCCAGCTACTCATGTCCAGTGGTGAGACGCACGAATCACCCGAAGAACTGGGTCTGAAGCTTGACCAGCAGCGTCTCAACAGACTGGCCCAGCGTCTGATTACTAGCAATTCAAGCGTTGAGGATCAGTTTCCACGCACGCAAGCCTTCTTTCGTGATTTTATTAGCGAATGTGGATCCTTGGCATTTCTAGTACAGCTCCAGCTGGCGCTCTATGTCCAATTGTTGCGCCATAATGATTCCAGTTTTGAGTTGCTGCCACTTCAAGCCGAAGACGAAGACGATGGCGAGGTAGTTCAGTCTCCGTTTATCGTACGACCACAGGCTCTTGCAGAATTGCTTATGTTGGCTAAATTTCTAGGGTATGTTTGCGCCTTCCCTTACAATCGATCGCCCACTGCCTATGCCTGCCCGCAACAACTGCAGCTGCGTCGCCAGTTCCAGCCACCGTTTGAGATGCGCACTCATCTTGAGCGAGCCATGCGCCAGGACAAACTACTCATCACGTTGCCCTGGCTGGTACAGTACTTGGCCATGTTAGATGTGGTCACACTGCAGCTTCCTGCTGCGGTGGCTACGCTGGAATTGCTCTATGCGCTGTATGAAGGCGTGGTTGCTAATCAAAATCCGCAGTTCTTTATTATACGTATTTGCCTCGGTTGGCTATTGGAATCTCAGCCAGCGCTCAGCAGTGGCTACTACAGTCAAAGGAGCGCCAAATCCTTAAGTGGAGCAAGTGCAGCATTGGTCGCCGATTGCCTGCATAGTCTGAGCATTTCGTATAAGGGACAGGCAGCAGCACTGCTCGAGCAGCTCCTCCCAGTGGCGTGTCCCTTTCTTCATGAGTTTTGTGTCTCCATTACTCCCTCGCAGCGACAAGTGCAGCGGAGTGGACGCTTTCGTTATATAACCACTCGACTGGAACAGCTGAGTGGAAGCAAGAAGTTGCAATCTGCACCAGAGGAAACGGTTGATCCTTTGCAGACTGTGGAAGCTATGTCATCGGAGCAAAAGCAACGCAAATTGGTGGACGCCTTTCTACACTCACAGAACGCTTCCATGCGACGTCTATTGGAATTTGTTACAGAGCGCAGCTTTAAGTGTGTGGTCAAGGATGCCCAGCAAACTATACTCCTGCCCTCCAAGGCTGCAGCCGATGCGCTTGTCAATGGGATTAGGTCCACGCAAGAGCAAGAGGTGCAGCGTGAGTTGCAACGCATCTATCAACAGGCACGCATTCAAGCCTCTCAACAATGGGCAGAACAAGTGCCTGCAATGTTAGAGAAACGCATCGAACAATCTTTAATGGCTCTGTTGCCCCTTAACACCCATGAGGTAGTGCGACGCACGTATAGCCATTTGATTAGGCAGCAGGCTGAGCCACAGATACACCAGTGGCTAGAAACGAGCGTCATACAATCTAATTTTTACCACGGTGATTTGCAGGAGGTGGCCATCAAGGTGTGTCGAGCGAACAAGAATAACAATCAGGCTACCAGCAGCAGTGGAACTTCCAATGAAATGTGCCTAACTGATGCGAATGGACTTAGTTTGTCCGGTATACTACATGAGCTGCAGCAATGGGTACACTGCCTCAGCTTGAGACCCGAATATTTGTGTTATATGAGTGATTTGCAAGGATTGCTCGGAAGGACGAAAGAGGCCGTTCAACTTAAGCAACTGCCCAGCTATTTCTACCAGCTGATGGGATCTGTATTGGTGCGCCTGTTACAATTACTCATATACCGTCAGCCACATTTGTTAACCGAGGACGTCATCAATACTAGCTGCGAGGTGTGGCTAACACCTCAAGTTCGTGGCACTGATGAGACAATACCTGTGTTTCTTGAAAGCCTGCTCAGCATCAGCTTTGTACAGGAGCTCAGCTCCGATCCTTCGAGCTTCCAGCTACTCCACCATCTGCTTCACGCTATGCTGAACGCTCGCGTGCTCGGCATCGATCACCTCAATCAGTTATTTTTGCCGCTCTTCAAGGAGAATTGGACTCCGCCTGTGTGGAAAGCGTTGTCACAGGTGCTCCATCGATTGTCCAAAGATCACTCCGATAACGATAAAAGTAACGACGATGACGACGGAAAATCGCATTTGTTTATGGAAGTGCTAGCGGATTTGTCGCAAGATTTGGATAGTTTTTAAGCTTAAAGTTATTATTATATCATTCTATGCATTTATCATAAAATTGTTAGTTGCTGTGAATAAACTCTATTTTTTGCACAAGCATTTGAGCTTTTCTTTTTTGTGTGCTCTGTAGGAAATCGATAAGATAAGAACGCCGCTTATCGATACATGAATTGGCCGATTACGTCAACTTGACGAATTTGACGGTGTGAAATGAAACACGATAAATAGGTATGTGTGTGTGTGTGCGAGGTTACCAGGTAAGCAGCGCGACAAACATATAGAAACAGTCAGTTATCTTTGGTATGTCGCAGATTAAGAACATTCCAGTATTGGTAGAGCTTATATACGATACTGGGTATGTGTATATGTGTAAAAATTTTATTTGAACAATTTTAACCATTTAATGCAAATATGTTGCAAAAAGAAGGCATTGAGATGTTTCAGTTTAGCTCAGTTTTCAACCACTGTGCATGTGAGAACTGCGTAATGTGTTTGTATGTATTCATGAAAGCTATGTTTTGTTTTCGCTATCTCTGTTCCTCTCTGTCTCTGTCTATGTCTGTCAGTGTGTTTGTATGAGTGTGTCATTGTGCTAATTTTGTAAAATGCGAACGCTGATTATGCAATCAACGGGGATTCTCTCTGTTTCTAAGCCCAATTGAAATTAATTGTTGCTTACTCTATTTTGTTCTATTTCATTTTAGTTGTGCACGGGCGAACTTTGGCAGACATATTTGATGAGCAACCAGGCAGCAGTATTAAATTAAATTAAAGAATCACTACCAACTACGAACGAATATTGAACTTAACGAACTTAACGAAAAGAACCCAGTATGGAAAATTTTACGCCAAAAGAGGTGAAGATCCTCGAGACGGTCGAGGATATTCAGGAGCGTCGTGAGCAGGTCCTGTCGCGTTATAATGAATTCAAAATCGAGACACGACAGAAGCGTGAAAAGCTTGAAGATTCGCGTCGATTTCAATACTTCAAGCGGGATGCCGATGAGCTTGAGTCCTGGATACATGAGAAACTCCAGGCAGCCAGCGAGGAAAGCTACCGGGATCCAACCAATCTGCAGGCAAAGATTCAAAAGCACCAGGCATTCGAGGCTGAGGTCTCCGCGCATAGCAATGCGATCGTATCGCTGGATAATACCGGTCAGGAGATGATCAATCAGCAGCACTTTGCATCGGAGACTATTCAACGGCGTCTGGATGAACTGCATCAGCTATGGGAGCTACTGCTCAGCCGTTTGGCTGAAAAGGGCCTGAAGCTGCAGCAAGCGTTGGTTCTCGTTCAATTTTTGCGTCAATGCGAGGAAGTCATGTTCTGGATCAAGGACAAAGAGACCTTTGTGACTGCTGATGAATTTGGTCAGGATCTTGAGCATGTCGAGGTGTTGCAGCGTAAATTCGATGAGTTCCAAAAGGACATGGCCTCGCAGGAATATCGTGTTACCGAGGTAAACCAATTGGCCGATAAGCTTATCCAGGATGGCCACCCAGAGCGGGACACCATAACCAAGCGCAAGGAGGAACTTAATGAGGCTTGGCAGCGTCTGAAGCAATTGGCCATTGTTCGCCAAGAGAAGCTCTTCGGTGCCCATGAGATTCAACGCTTCAATCGTGATGCGGACGAGACTGTCGCTTGGATTGCCGAAAAGGATGTGGTTTTGTCCTCTGATGATTATGGTCGCGATTTGGCCAGCGTACAGGCTCTGCAGCGCAAGCATGAGGGAGTTGAACGCGATTTGGCTGCTCTGGAGGATAAGGTCTCCACACTGGGCGCCGAGGCACAGCGATTGTGCTCTATCCACGCGGATCATAGCGATCAGATCAGGGATAAGCAGGCAGAGATCGCCAACTACTGGCAGAGCTTGACGGCTAAGGCACGAGAACGCAAACAAAAACTGGACGAGTCTTACTATCTACATCGATTCCTGGCCGATTTCCGTGATCTGGTATCGTGGATCAATAACATGAAGGCTATCATCTCAGCCGACGAGCTAGCTAAGGATGTAGCTGGAGCTGAGGCTCTGCTGGAGCGTCATCAAGAGCACAAAGGCGAGATCGATGCACGTGAGGATAGCTTCAAATTGACCACCGAGTCGGGCAGGAAGCTCTTGGAGCGTGAGCACTATGCTGCAGCTGAGATTCAAGAGAAGTTGGCTGCACTGGAGAACGATAAGAGCTCGCTGCTGTCTTTGTGGGAGGATCGTCGAATTCTGTATGAGCAATGCATGGACTTGCAACTCTTCTACCGAGACACTGAACAGGCCGATACCTGGATGGCCAAGCAAGAGGCATTCCTGGCCAACGAGGATTTGGGAGACTCCCTCGACTCTGTGGAAGCTTTGATTAAGAAGCACGAGGATTTCGAGAAGAGTCTCGCTGCCCAGGAGGAGAAGATCAAGGCGCTGGACATCTTTGCCACCAAACTCATCGATGGTCAGCATTATGCCGCCGATGATGTGGCTCAGCGTCGACAGATGCTGCTCGCTCGCCGCGCTGCACTGCAGGAGAAGTCTGCAAAGCGTCGCCAGCTGCTTGAGGACTCGAATCGCTATCAGCAATTCGAACGGGATTGCGATGAGACCAAGGGTTGGATCAGTGAAAAACTGAAGTTTGCCACAGATGATTCTTATCTGGATCCAACAAACTTGAATGGTAAAATGCAGAAGCACCAGAACTTTGAGCATGAGCTGAATGCGAATAAGTCACGCATCGAGGACATCACCAATGTGGGCAGCGAGCTGATCGAGAAGAAGCATTATGCCGCGGATCAGATCAATACGCGTATGCAAGAGATTGTTGTGCTGTGGGAGACATTGGTGCAGGCATCCGATAAGAAGGGCACCAAGCTGAATGAAGCCTGCCAGCAGCAGCAGTTCAATCGTACCATTGAGGACATTGAGCTGTGGCTCAGCGAGATTGAGGGTCAGCTGCTCTCCGAGGATCATGGCAAGGATTTGACCTCCGTGCAGAATCTGCAGAAGAAGCACGCTCTGCTCGAGGCTGATGTTATGGCTCATCAGGATCGTATCGAGAACATCAATGTGGCAGCTAATAAGTTCATTGAATCTGGACACTTTGATTCCGATAACATTCGCAACAAGGAGGGAAATCTTTCGGCACGCTATGCTGCTCTGGCTGCTCCAATGGCTGAACGCAAGCAACATCTGTTGGATTCATTGCAGGTGCAGCAGCTGTTCCGCGACTTGGAGGATGAAGCTGCCTGGATCCGTGAGAAGGAACCAATTGCAGCATCGACCAATCGCGGTCGCGATTTGATTGGCGTGCAAAATTTGATCAAGAAACATCAAGCTGTTCTGGCCGAGATTAACAACCATGAGGCGCGACTCCTCAACGTCATTAGCTCTGGGGAAAATATGCTTAAGGATCAGCCATTTGCCAGCGAGGACATTCGTCAGCGTCTCGAAGCGCTGCAGGAGCAGTGGAACACCCTCAAGGACAAGTCGAATCAACGCAAGCAGGATCTGGATGATTCATTACAGGCACATCAATACTTTGCCGATGCCAACGAGGCGGAGTCCTGGATGCGTGAAAAGGAACCCATTGCCACGGGCAACGACTATGGTAAAGATGAGGATTCATCAGAGGCACTTCTCAAGAAGCACGAGGCACTTGTCTCCGATCTGGAAGCCTTTGGCAACACGATTCAGGCGCTGCAGGAGCAGGCCAAGAACTGCCGGCAACAGGAGACGCCCGTCGTGGACATTACTGGCAAGGAGTGTGTCGTTGCACTCTACGATTACTCGGAGAAGTCGCCACGTGAAGTGTCCATGAAGAAGGGTGATGTTCTCACCCTCCTGAACTCCAACAACAAGGATTGGTGGAAGGTTGAGGTCAATGACCGTCAGGGATTCGTGCCCGCTGCCTACATCAAGAAGATCGAGGCCGGACTCAGTGCATCGCAGCAAAACCTGGTGGACAACCATTCGATTGCTAAGCGCCAGAACCAGATCAACTCCCAGTATGATAATCTTCTAGCCCTTGCACGTGAGCGTCAGAATAAGCTCAATGAGACGGTGAAGGCTTATGTGCTGGTCCGTGAAGCCGCAGATTTGGCTCAATGGATCCGCGACAAGGAAAATCATGCCCAGATTGCTGATGTGGTGGGCGAGGATCTGGAGGAAGTGGAAGTGTTGCAGAAGAAATTCGATGACTTCAATGATGATCTAAAGGCCAACGAAGTGCGTTTGGCTAACATGAATGAGATTGCAGTTCAGCTGACATCGCTGGGACAAACGGAAGCAGCTCTGAAGATCCAGACCCAGATGCAGGACCTTAACGAGAAGTGGAACAATCTGCAAACATTGACAGCCGAGAAGGCTAGCCAGTTGGGCTCCGCCCATGAGGTGCAGCGATTCCATCGCGACATTGATGAGACCAAGGATTGGATTGCCGAGAAGGCGAATGCCCTGAACAACGATGATCTTGGCAAGGATTTGCGTAGCGTCCAGACGCTTCAGCGCAAACACGAAGGTGTTGAACGTGACCTGGCTGCCCTACGTGACAAGATTCGCCAATTGGATGAGACCGCAAACCGCTTGATGCAGTCGCATCCAGATACCGCTGAGCAGACTTATGCCAAGCAGAAGGAGATCAACGAGATGTGGGATCAGATCATCACCAAGTCGACAGCCCGCAAAGAGAAGCTTCTTGACTCGTACGATCTGCAGCGATTCCTCAGCGACTATCGCGATCTGCTCGCCTGGATCAACTCGATGATGAGTCTGGTTACCTCCGATGAGCTGGCCAATGATGTAACGGGAGCCGAAGCCCTTATCGAACGTCATCAGGTGGGCTTTTGTTTTAATTTGATTTCAAAATTCCCATTTAATTATTTCATCTGCCTTGAGTTTTTATTTCTTCAATGAACGTTGTAATCCATTTGTATATATATCGATATATGTAATTAACTTCAAAATCTCTTGAAATCAGTTGATTCACGTTAACATTTGCATAATTTTAAAGCTTTTTAATCTTACCGATATACCTCGATATATATATGATCGACTGCAACGGTTTCTTGAATCTTTGACTATATGAAGATATATTTGATTTTGTTATGTA